CCCCCCCCCCTCACCTCCACCTCAGTCTCACCCCAGCAAAGAACAGTCTCTCAGCAGAAATGTGCAAGAAACACACAGCACAATAGACAATTCAAGCTGCAGTGAACTGCAGTGAACTCTCACCGCTCAGTTTATGCAGGCAGCACACTCCAAAATGTTGTGTGGTTTTATCATGATCAGCGATTATGGTGATGCCATGTAAAAACTGAAATGTAAATATATCTCAAACTGTTCACCAGCACTATTATCTTTTACTTTCTGTCTTCAGCTTGCTTTAAAACATTTGACAGCTGGGTAAACTATGGGTGTATTGTAGTGGAAAAGTAAAAACCAAGTACAAAGTGACAGTTTCAAATCATATGGAAATCATATTCCTATTAAATCACCAAGTAAACAGCGTCTGTTAATTCTAACTAGCAAGTGGAAAAAGTGCCACAGAGGGAGGGATTTATGTATTTAACTGCTGTTGTCTTTGGTTAGAAATACGACAGACAAGAGATTTGTTCAGTAGGCTACTGAGCAACAAAGATCAGCTGTTATTATTAGGAGTTTACAGACTTGCAGACTAATCTGAGCTGCCCCAAAAATACTTGGAAATATACTGCAAGCAAAATATTTGGATACTCCTGTAGTGTTCAGGGCTCCACCAACCAGTGAGAGCTGAGATAAGATTAAGTTGAAGAGGAGGAGTTCACACAGTCAAATAAAGCTGTATGCTTTACCACATATAATATGTACACACAGGACACATAATACTTTGTTAAAGCCCTCTGAGTTCTCTAACACACTTACTGTGCTAAGGGCATTCACGTCATTTGCTTTTTCCTGTTTGGTGAACAGTATCAAGCTGCAATTGTTTGTGCGCACTCCATTTGCCTTTGTTTCTGACTAAATGACATCCTCCATAGCTTGGCTTTCTGCAGCAGCACAGTGAAGGAGTGCCAGGGACTGAAAATAAAAAAGCTTGTAATTTCACTCTCAAAGCAGCAACTCAAACTATGCTATTATAAAGTGAATTGTCCTCTAAAACTAGACTACTTTTTGCTATGTAGCCAACATTTAATTGTGGGCACAGCTCTACGCTGCAGATTAAAGCCACATTCCACTTTATTTAAAATACAAACCTTGCCTCTCATGCTTCTCACACTTCAATGCACACACACACGGGTCTCTCCATAGAGTTTGACTCATCAGTCCTACCAGAATATGCTGACTGCAATCTTCTTACAAGAACTTCTGATGACCGTCTGAGTTACTTCCCTCAGAGTCACATGTGAAAAGCACAACCCTCGGTTTGCAGCAGTTCAAACACTGCCCTGAGTGTTACTTCTTCTTATTGGTTCCTCTGAGCGCGTTTAATCTCAGAGACAGCTGTATATACAGAGGTATATAGTGTATATAGCACTTTGGGCTGCATGTTTGTATGAAAGGTGCTATATAAATAAAGTGGAGTTGAGTTGAGTAGACAAACTTGTGGTAGGTTTGGCTCAAAGATTGACAGAAGAACAAACGGCGCTGTTTCAACCCTTTAAGTAGGGTGGTTATTCATTCAAGTAATTGCAATGTAATTGAGACTAAAGTCTGTCGGTATATCCAAAACAACAATTTCAGTCAACACTCGCCAAATGTGTATTTTTATCATAAAGGCACAGATTCAAATCTAGTTCTGTGAGACGGCGGGGCACCTCAGGGCATCCTACACTCAAACACATTCATACAGTCAAAGCAACAAATCCATTTAGTCAAACATTCATCAGTCAGTATCAGTCTAGACTTTCACCTCTCCATGAACTTCTGTGCTGTGTTGTGCAGGGGAAATCTGTTCCATAGACCACTATAAAAAAGCAATAAACTGAACAGATTCATGTCATCACAGCAGTTCACACAAGGTGATATAACACAGGCTAACAGCGGTCGAACATTCATTCACACTTTCACAGAAGTCATGCACCCATGCACTCATTATGGCAAAATGCTGTCACCACCTAGTGGCGCACTATGAGAAGTACACTTCATAGCTTTATTGTTACATATCACTGTTGAGAGATCACGGTTCAGTAACCAGGTATCCATGTATATCTGACAGTGGACATTTTAAAACAGGCTGAAATATTAGTTCCAGCTTATTACTGGCTAAACTTTCAATCAGAGGGCTTAATGGGATTGTTGATAAACAAAAACAATGACAACAGGTGCAGTTGCTGACTACAGTATCAGTAAGTATTTTGCATTGAATGTATTAATGAATCATATTTTTTGGATATTTGCTCTGACTGGTTAGCTCTTATGTCTTGTGCAAATAAGACAATGTGAAAATATCATACTGATCCTACTGGTCACCAACAGAGCTAAAATTTGGTTTTACTTCAGTAGTCCAACCCACCTCCAGATCGGAGCTGACTAGCGAAGAATCATGGGATGTATCTGAGGAGCAGAATCTGTCGACTCTGGTCAATTGCACATTCCTGTTGATACACCGGTCCTCCACCTCCTCCTTGGACAACACCTTCTTAAGGCATATCTTGAAATAAACAGAAAGAAAACCCTACTTACTTATTAAGAATGACTGCTGATTGAGGTGAAGAAGAAATATGCATTTCATTTCTAGAGTGCATTGCAACAACAGATTTGTCTTACTTTTCTTGCTGGTTGGACATTGACATCCATATAACGGCCCATCTCAGTCATCTTCTGGAATGTTTTTGTCTTTGAAATAAAGGTTTAATAAAAAACTAAAAAAGAACAGGATTCAAATATACCAAAGGAACGCCTGCATATTGTTTTTTCTTTTATGCACATTTAAGCTGAAACATGAACATAAATTAATGAGTGTAGAAAGTAGGACAGTAAGTAAAATTCCAATGCCGCACTGAGGTCAAGATTGGTAATCTTGTCAATGGAATAGCAAAAAGCAAATAAGACCTAAAACTTAACATAACTTTAACATAAATTACTTTGGCTTGTGCTGAAGAATGAATTTGCTGCTTTCTCTGTCTTTCCATGACACCCTTATCCTCAGTGGACATGCTTGAGCCACCTAAAAGGCTCTCTGTGTCTGCAGAAAAACTGGTAAGCTGCTGTCTGGTTCCTCTTCTGCACCAATGGATGACTAGAATCTGAAAATGTTGTATTAAAGCTTAACAAGTTAATTATGGTTGAAAATCTGTACAATTCACATGCATTCGAGGCATCATTTAAATCTATTCTAACTGCACATTATTTCCCAGAGATTAAACGTGGGTAGTATTGTGACGTTCTTCTCTTGAATGTTATTGATGCCATTAGGGTTTCTATTTTTTGTTGCTCCTTCACTTTCTGTTCAGTTTATCACTGCTGCTGCTTCTATAAATCTAAAAAACAGGAAAAAGCTACCAGAGACTTTAGTTCATGGAACAGCTTTCATAGACTGAATCAATACTGTGCTATAAAAGCTACCAGAGACCATCTCCACTTCTGTGGCCAATGCCCTGGTGAAGGGCTCTGGCAGGAGTGTTATTGTGGTATTAGCCGACTTAAAGCCGTGAGCCTGACAGAGTGAGTAAGATGCAGTCATGCTATGCTATATAAGGATACAAGAAGGTCCAGGGTGACACAGCATATTGTTGACAGCAACCACGGCATGACTTTCAAAAGAAACCCAAGCTGAGTGTCATAGAGGAGTATGGCAGCAGCATAGAGGGCACCCGCCAGTGAGCACAGCAGTCCAGAGAACATGTAGGCCTGGGTCAACATCTGTCCTCTGTACTAAAAAGGAAAAAATAAATGTCATTCACTTAAAAGCAATTCAACACTGGGAGATTCTGACACCAAAACACTTACAGCTCTGCGGAGTGCAGGAAACCTAGAGGTACAGGCGATGACAAAGGAAAGGAGGCCAAGTACGTATCCCAGGATTTCAGTGTTGTCCTGTTAGAATAACAGTTGTAAGTTGTTATACTGTCAGATTCAATACAAAGTAAGGACACTTAGTCTGAATAGACTCGAAAGACTCGAAAGCATTAATATCCATCAACACTGCAGATATTGATTTGAACATATAAAGTGGTGAGTATTTAAAACTAAAGAGCACCACGTTTGCACTGAGGCAGAAGTAAGGGGACACACATTTTAAGCACAGGTCAATATTGTTCAGTGTGAGTTAAGTGTAGATGTAGATACTCAAATTTAATAGTTGCACTGGCAGATTACTTCAGTACATGCCACCTATCCCTACCCATGAACTGTGTTTGTCTATTGAACTACAATAAGTCCTGTCATTTTAGGACTACAACTATCCACAGTGCTGGTGTGTGCGTACTTGGAGTGTGAGGTACAGCAGTCTCCTCCTGCTGAGAGGCCTGTCTGCTGGGCGATGGGTGACCCTGGACTTCAGAAAACCTCCTGCAACCACCATCAGTACACACACTGCGAGAAGGTTCTGCCTCCTCCGCGCCCTCATCATCCTCAGCCTCCTCTCTGAGGAAAAAACACACACACAATAGTTGGAAACAGTTGTAACATATCCCCTATTCATTTGTTTGGTTATCTGTAGAGCGTCTCTGATAAGTCTCCTTACTGTTTTGCCTAAAAGGTTTTGGCCAGTAGGGTGTGAATACTAACACACCTGTGCTTACCTTTAGGAGGATAGGGATATGGTTTGCATTACTGAGATAAGGCATTTTTCTGAACTTACCTGCCTTTGAGTTCCAGCACAGGAAAGGGAAGCAAGCCATAAAATGCACAGCATCCACAGCAGCAGCAACAGCACCTATTAAAACCTACAGAGGAGGGAGCAGAAGTTACTGATGCATGCAAAAAAAAGATTAAAAAGCACCATGATTCAAACGTACCTGAATATGCAGCTGTCTGGACAGAATGGCTCCCACTGTGCTGCACAGGTTACCGAAAAGGCTGTAGAGGAAGGTGACTGTTTCTCCCGGATTTTGTCTCCGACATTTGCACCCCTGACACAGGAGCCTTGAACAGTTAACGCGGGTTTAGTGTCAGACAACTTTTTAATAAATTACCAGAACAAATGCTGAATCCAACTTACACAAAGCATGAGAGCAGTAAGAGCAGCGCTGACAGAAAGCTTAGGCCGATGGGGACGCAAAGTTTGTCTGCGTCATGGGAGAAACAGGTAGAGACCGAATCCACGCAAAATTCAACCAGACTGGAGAGGAAAGTGTTGGGATTTCCACTTGCTGGATCCTCCAGGATAAATGCACGTCGACCCATATTAACAGTAAATACGTTTACATTTCGTAATACTAGAAAAAAAGCCTTGAGAAGCCTTGCACACACACGCACACACACACAGCCGAAACGCAAACTCGCGCGTCAAGCGGACAAGAGCAAAGGACGGACCTGCATATTTCAGGGAGGAGCTCACCTGTGATACACCTCGGCAAATACTGTGTGTTGTGGGAAATTGGCTACAGAAGTCTCACCTTTGAGGGCTAAAAAAACAAAGTAATGCATCTATTTTATGATCTAGTTAACTTGTGTAAGTTGAGCTTTGACAGACATTACGACCGCCTGCCAGGAGCTGCATCCTCCCAGGATGAGGCCCTCAGAGGTGGTCCGGATGAAGGGATTTCTTTTTACTTTTTACACCTAAGGCATGAGTGCAGCGGCGGATCTAGAGAAATATTCATGGTGTGGTATAAATATATGCTGATTTAATCACAAACAATTATAAATATCAATATTTCCTCGGAAAAGCCCCACAATTAAGACATTTTAACTGAAAAAAACATTACATTATTGTGGCGCATTAATCTTAAATTAGTAAATACTTTTATTTCCAAATCTTTAGACATTTCCCAGTGGTTCCCAACCCGGGAGTCGCAACCCCCACCATCGGTCACCAAAGCTTCATGGCTGGTCATGAGGCCTTCTTGGTTTTCAGGCTTAAGAAAACTTTAAAAATATACACAGGTGGTCTATATCTCAGCATTTGTTTGACTTTTGTTAAGAAAACTAAACGTACAGTTGTCTAACAGAGCAATGTCCAAGCACCAGGGACAAGAAAACATTTAATCTGTCAAAAAAAGAGAAGCCTATTAGGTTAGTACGATATAAAAAAATAATGATAATACAAAGAATTGTATAAAAAGTTCTACCTAAACAGGAAATATTTCTAAATTAATCCAAATCACTAATTTTAAACAAACTTCTCGCAGTTACTGAGTTGACCATTTGGGTTAATTCTAGTTTTTAATATAATATGAAATATCCATAAAATATCTCACTTGATGTACATTGCTAAACTCCTAAACTGCAGCAAATTAAGCTTTTAAATAAATGAACCCCTATGTGATTACATATACTCAGATTAATAATTGTTTGAAGATGTGATTTGAATTTTCCAAACATTCGCACATACACGTACATATAATCCCCTACTGCACTGTGTAGCATTAACAAACGTTAACCTTGTGGAGTGAAGAAGTGAAACACCAACATGAAAACATTCAGTTTATTTCATAATTCATCTCAGTTACATTAATCACAGCTGTATATGGAAAATACAGTCATTTATCTGGTGAATAAAGACTTGAATGAATCTACTGAAACGGCTTTAAAATACAAATGTAATATGTTTTTTTTCAATGTCTTAATAACATTCAGACCTTCTGGATGTCGAGTCCATTTCCAAACACTGTGGTGAGAGCTGGTGTACAACTGGTGATCCAGTTGATGGAATGCATTGCACCAATATGATCTTCTAACCAGCGCAGCACATGAAATGATTTTGCACCTCATTTGTTAGTATCAAGACAGCCTGACCTTTCCATAATCACAGAATTAAGGGGCCTGAATCTACCTTCAGATACTGCTCAGCATCAACGCCTTTGGAATCACATCTGAACTGTCTGTTTCCATTTCTGCTGAACTGATCTGTAATTAAACGCGCTTTGATTTCAGATCATCCTTCAGGCATCCAGATGCTTGGTAAGACGGCGTACTTTCTCTTTCTTGTTCCTGTTCCCGTGTTTTTTCCACGGTTTTCCCACCACCGACTCTGATCCAGCTTTTCCAGGGCCAACAGGTCCACAGCCTGGTTTATAGCCCATGTAGGACTGAACCCCTTTGGTGAGCGCCCGCACATTCTCCTGCAGATAGAGACGCCATCAATATTCATTCATTTCACAAACAACCATAATTACTGATATTGTGGATTTAAACTGATAACTACTATGCAGACATTTTTCCTACGAATAAGAAGACAGTAGATGTAATATACCTGATGGAAGAAATTCTTGTCAACCGTATTTTCAATTCTCCTGATTTTCTGTTTGTTTGTTGTTGCCGAGAGATCACAGCAGTCAGAGTCTCTATTCAGGAACTTGTTGTGCTGCGGCTGGAAGTCTTCAGCATTAATATGTGGGGGAGGATGGCAGTACAGAAGCTTGCCCTGTAAGGAGTCAACATTGTTAGTAGTGAAAGGATGTTCTACTCAGGATTAAAATATTTTAAATAAATGTATAGATGTTACCAAAAGTCCAAATTTCCTATAACAGCTACTCCACTATGCAGCTATGCTAGGTCAATATAAAGCAGGTGCCAGACTTACGACAGTCAACTACTAGATTAAAATGAGGTATTTTGTTTATTTATTTAATCAGATCAATCATGCTGACGTTAAAGAGACTCAATCGATTGTTCTTTAAGCCCTATTTAACCTTACCTTCCTACTATACATAAATTGTCAAAACCAACAACAAAATGTACTGGGAACTGTAGTTTTTTTAATTCTGACTCTGGGTCTGTTACTTACGTTGACATAATCCTTCAGGACGTACCGGGCTGATCTGGACTGATCAGGTTGGCCATGTGTCGTCATAAACCCTCTCATGTCTGAAATAGAGGGAAACAATAATATACTTTATACAGCTCTGCTATAAAGTTAGAGTTTACATAATGCTTTAAAAAAAAAAGTACAAAGTAGTTAAACAGAAAAAAAGAACACATTCAAGAGAAACTAGGTTGAAAGAAAAACAAACATGGAGGGGGCAAATCCTACATTCAAGTCTATAAAAATGCATTTTATTAACTCATAAAAGATCCACTAGATGGATAATTCCCACAGCTAATCTCCATACAGAGTTGCATGCCGGCAAGTACATTTCTTGGCCCATTTGTTAATTTATTCTCTATAGAAACATTATAAAAGTCAGGTAGTCTCACAGCCATAAGCCATCAGCATCTCCTCAGAGGTGGGGTGCCTGTCAGGGTCGTCGTCTTCTCGTGGTCGGATGATGTTGATGCCGTATGTGCCTTCTAACACATGCCGAGGGATCGTCTGACATATGTGACAAATCTGTTAAGGACCTAACTACAAGTAGCATCCAAGAAATTCTTAAAGTCGGAGGGACTGTGAGCTTCATGAACATTTTAAACATCAACACATCATTGTAAAATTTTGGGGGGGTTATTTGAGTTCATTATTGTAAACAAATGACACCACAATTGATACTGAGGTCATAGTGACAGAAAAGATTGGGTGGTTAAGTTAAAGGGATAGTTAGGGTTTTTTGAAGTGGGGTTGTACGAGGTACTTATCCATAGTCAGTGTCTTAACTGCGGAAGATGGAGGTCAGCGTGCCCCCAGTTTGGAGAAACAGACAGGAGCAAAAATATCCATTTAAAAGGTTATATATGTGAAATTCACTTGCCACTGGACATTGCACTAGAGCACCCTCATCTCAGACCAAAACAATCGGACAGAAACTAAATACAACTCACCACAACTGTCTTCATTAGTCTTTATCACCAACACTGGTTTGGTCAAAATAAACTCTTAATTAATTCACAGAGTTAGAGGTGAAAATACTCCTGAAAAGGACTGCAATGGCTGAAAAGTAAGCTAATGTCAATATCAAAGTGCGTCCACTAAAAGTGCTTGTTTTTGCAGCTAACAGGCTCAGATTGTTATTCTAAGTGTCTGACAACATTATGGAAATGATCCCAAAAGAGATTTTCCTTTTGCTTAACCAGAAACGGCAGTAATATTACTATTGCTTTTTTAGTGGTCATCAATCTGCTGTGTCAAAAAGCATGTAAAGGATATAAGGGAGACTGCAGGTATGTGATCTCTCATCTGGTCAATGGGCAGGATCCCAGAGCAGATCATCTCAGCTTTGGTAGAAACAAAGGAGGGCATGACCAGACCAGGGCAGTCACAGAGGCACAGACCCGGTTCCACAAACAGAGTCTGTGATACACGTGAAGAAAAGGCAAAAGAACAATCACACCTTAAGCTTTCTATTGATGGAACAAATGACTGGAATTCACATTGAAAGGTTCAAGAGTATTCCTGTACCTGAAAGTGCTTAGTGTGTCCAGGAGTGGCTGAAACCGACACCTTTTTGTTCCTCAAGATAGTATTGATTGTGGAACTCTTTCCCACATTCGGATACCCAACCTGTTGAATTCATACACGATGAAATATGGAATTGCTTAACAACTATTCAAAACAATTTATAGTGCTTGTGGAAAGCCCATTTGACCCTTAACTTTTCTAACATTTTTCCTGTCAAAACATTTGAAAACAGCAAACACAGTACATTTTTCACATAAGGAACAAGGCAAAGAACATTCCTGGTTAAGCTTGCAATGGATTACAGCATTCTTACTCTACACAGTACATGCTAAGTGCAAATGAGCAAGTAAATCAGGAAACTCTCTTTTGCAGCAGATCGTTTAGCGTACAACTTTTTACCCACCAGTCCAACTGTCAGCTGCCCTTCTTTACATCTGGGCCCGTTGTGAACAGCTTTAAACACGTCCAGCAGCTCATCCATGTGCAGCAGTCGGCTGGAGTTGTGGAAAGAGGATTCGCTGGATGAACCGGCTCCCTCTCCTTCACCCTCATCTTCTGAGCAGGTGTGCCAGTCCTCTTCTTTTACGGTAATCTTTCCCCGCTGCTCTTCTTCTGTGTCACTCTCTTCATCCTCCTCTTCTGCCTCCTCCTCCTCTCCATCTGCCCCCTTTCGGGTCAAGTCTTCATTGTCTGGCTGTCCTTCCTCTTCTGGGTCACTCTCTCCACCCTCCGGATCGTCCACTTCCATGCCCTGTGAGAGGTGACGTTTCACTTTGATACTGGGTTTAAAGGCAACAGCGAGTCTAAAGAAACAAGTTTCTCCAAAACTATCTGAAATTGAAAACTGGTAACGTTCACTTCCCCATGTGAATACATTTATTAAAGGTCTAGTGTGTAGGATTTAGTGGCATCTAGTGGTGTAGTTGCAGATTGCAACTCTGTCGCTTCACCCTCCCCTTCCAAGCGTGAAGGAGAAACTACGTAGGCCGCTCATTCTGTTCATTCTAAGGTAACAAAAACATAACGGTTCCTATATTAAGGTGATTATTCACTAATAAAAACATAGCTGTGAATATTATATTCCATTTCTGCCAATAGATCTTCTTAAATGTTTCCCACCAGCCCTTTCTTCTCAATCATCCTTCTCCTCACCTTTTCCTCTGCATCCAGTCTGTCGCCCTCAGCCAGTGCAGACCAGAAAACTGCCCTCAGTCCGTCTTTCTGGAAGTGTCTGGCCCAGGCTCGCCTCTGCTCCCTGGTTAGCAGATCTGCCTTGTTCACCAGCAGCATGTTCACCTTATGCTCTGATACTTCCTTTACGTAGGACTCCTGGCAGCACGCAACAGAAAAATCAGACAGAATAAAACAGAACTGCAATGTTCGACTCACCTTTATACAATACTTCTGCTGGCAGTTTAATTATTTCATTTAATTTGATTATTTTACTTGTTTAGAATGTAACTACAAAGCAAGTAAGTACAAATGTGAGACAGATCTTTGAGGAAAAAACTCACAGATGAAAGACAACAGGACAAAGGAAATTAAAACTGTAAAACCTGTTACAATATGTATGTGTACCCTAACGCAGGGACTGCATTGATTGTAACCTTCAGCATCCCTTTCCCACTAAAGCAACTTTGCCCAGTGTACTTACCAGGTCAGGACATCTGAACAGTAAAGGATTCCTGGCATCAACAATTTGAACGACGACATCGCTACAAGAAAACACAAAAACAGTTTTGCCTTTAAGTATTGCATGAAGAGAACACATTCCTCATTAAAGACAGGCATGAGCTGACAGCCGTTTACAGCTTTAGTTTTTTACCTCCGCTCGATCACTCTCCACAGCTGTCTCCAGAACTCCAGGTTCCTCTCAAATGGGGTGAGAATTAACTTCTGCTCCTCTTCTAACCTTTAGAGGTAACACTTGCAGTTATATAGCTGACATTGAAAATCCCACACTGACTTAACCTTATATTACAAATGCTGTTAGATTCTTTTTTTTATTACACACTCTGCAAGCTCTCGTCTCCAGTGTAAGAAGCTGTCTTTCTCTGCTTGCTGAAGCTCCTCTGGACTCGTGCTTTCATCCCAGTGGGGGCTTAAAATTGAAAGAGACATATGACAAAAATTAAAAATGCAAAACATACAGTACAACAAGTTCATAAAATTAACTAGATTTAGTCTACTTACCGACGAGGAATTCTGAGGAAATGCTTGTTTTCTTCATGCAGCTTTGCCAGCCTGATTCTCTCCTCAGCTGTTATCAAGCCTGCTCTAGCTTCCGCTGGCACAAACTTGATGTTGAGTTTCTCTAAGAAAACAAAGAAAGAAACAGTCAGAGACAGCAATGGAATCAAAAGACAAAGTTTGCATAACACAACATAACTTAAGACGAGATATATTCAAGCAACCTCAAGGATGCTGCAGAAATTCTAACTTCTAACAGAAAACATTTATCTATGATCCTCTAAAACAGTGGGGGGGGGGGGGGGGGGGGGGGCACACTGTGACACTACCAGTGTTGGGGCCATTTTATACAGAGGAAACAGAGTGGAAACACAGCGCAGTCGCACACAACACAACAGATACAACGTAACATTTGCTGTGCAGCAACAGATAACTACCTAATCAGTTTGATATGATGTTTACATACAACAGCCGTGTCAAACACATTGGGATATGGAATACACCTCAATGTGCTTGGGAAGTTAAAAACATCCTTTGACCACAACATCGAGCAGAACACAAAACTCAAGCACCATACACAAGTTAAGAGAGGTTTTACTTACCCGCAACAAACTCTGTTCCCGCTAATTCTGCAGTGGCCAGAAAGTCATCCATTGAACTCTGTTCTGTCACTGACTGCAGGTTCAGCCGTCCCCAGTCATAGCCATCATTCAGCTCACTGGTGTGGAGCTGCAAATGTAAGAAAATAACAGGCTACATTAGTCTAGGGTTACAGTGAGTGCTACAGAAAAATACACACTTATTGTCATGAGGAAAATCTGTTGCCAAAATCTGCCAAAATATCTCTCATAAGTAATAGCACAGTAGCTATGAAGCAATTCTAATAATCTTTTGAGATTGTGTTGCAAAACTAATGTTCCATATACTTTATCTATATGCCGAATTTACCACAGGAACCAATTCATTAGAAGGGGTATTCATTTATGTACTGCACCTTACTGATATGAAAAGCAGCGATAAAATTTACATTTTCTTAAGGGAGTTTGGCGCAAGCTAACAAACCACACTTTTCAGAATACCGACAGCTCTGCCGAAACCCTGCACATAGTGAAATAGTTGAGTGGCAGTTCAAACGGGGCCACACATGAACTTGAATTTGATAATATACCATTGACAGCGAAACAACTATCCTCTACGATGTGTTAAAGCATGTTTAATATAAGCTAGTTGCTATGTGTCATACCCATGAGTCGCCCCTCTTGTTTCCTCGACCGGCCTGCAGTCTCTCCTTTATCAGAGATCTGCCCAGTCCGCCTCCACCGCCCGCCTTCTTCTTCCCCATACTAACTCCTTCTGTCGTCAATTTATACTAAACACTGTAATATAATAAAGCGAAAGAGTTGTAAAAACGAGCTCCGTCGCTAGCTACAGTGCCCCATGTGCACTAGGTTGTTGTCGTAAGAACCGGAAATGGGACAAACCAATAATGTTTTTATATCCAGAAGAATTTATCTCAACTACTTTCATATATTCATATATTTAATTTAAGTAGTTGTAAATTCACATATAAGTTCTAAATAATTAATCCCCTTAAAGATCTCCTTATTATATCTACTTTATTGTAAGTATCTGTAGTGATATAGCTGTGGTACAGTCCACTTTTCTGTCCTGCTATCAAAGGTGCCCTGAAGAAAATGGGACGGTACCAATGTTCGTTCCTCATGCCTACCCTCATTTAGTTTTACAGTCAAATAAATGTAAATACAGTCTTTATGTATATACTTTTAAAAGAGGTTATAATTCTCAAATTATAAAAGTTAGTATTGCGCAAAGTTAAAAGTAAATCCTCTTCTATCCACCCCGACAAACGCACTTCTGATGTGAACCAGAAGATGGCAGCATGAAACAGCACCATCAGAATGAATCTCCAGCCTCACTGACACACAGGCAGCACCAAACTGATAAACTGACTGATATAGGAAATATTCATCTAAGAAGAGAACACTCTTCACATTCAAAGTTAGATTTTTAGTGAATATATTAAAGAAAACTGTATTTATCTTAAGTCTGGCTTTAAAAAATGTGAGAGATAATGTCAACACATTTAAATCCATGGTAGACTAATCTAATTATGCTTAAGACATTAAAATTGCCCCAAAAATATTATTATGTTATGTTATATAGTGTAAAAATATATAGGAGCTTAGTTACTTTGCACTCAGTTGTGATTTTATTTTAGTTTTATTTATTGTTTTAAATCTATATTCCATATGTTTTAATCTCTTGTAATATCACTGTAACAGAGAGTTTTGGTATGGTAATCTATATGTGTATATTTGACATTTCCAATGTAGTAAAAGCCAATAGAAATGTACATTTACACATTTAGGACATTCCCAGCTAGTTATTGAAATAATGTTAATAGGTTTATGCTACTAAATGTCATTGTGTAATTGTTTCATTCAGTTATCAAACCAATGTTTCGGCCTTCAACTCTTTTATTTATTTTGAAATCATTAATATGGACTGTACACAAAATTATGCTATTTGGAAACAGCAGGCAACCGTGAGAGTTTTGTATCAATGAACACAGTAAACACGGACCAACAGGTCTAGTATCACTTGGTTCAGTCGTCCTTACCCCTACAGTCACCCTCAGATGGTCTCTCCCACTATATAACCCATGAAGCTCGCCTCTCCAAAGTAGACTGTATTCAGCCTTACACAGAGAGAAGACCGGGGACACTACAATGGACAAGAGCACTTTAGAGGATGACCAGATGAAGTACGATGTCTTTGCGTTAACTTCTCATAGAGTAGCTCACAAATGACCTGACAGGGCAATACACACTCCTAGGACTTAGTAGTGATACAAAGTTTATTTCTTTTCTTTCTCTCTCAGTAGACTTTGTTGCTGTTGACTGCAAACAGCCCTTAAAATGCTGCCTTGGAAGAAGAATAAGTTCGACCTGATTGAGGAAGACAAGCAGTCCAAGCAGAAGGGCTATGCAGTGAGTCTCAACTACTCTGCGCTCACCTCCTTCGCCAAGTCCTGCCCCGAGAGCGCACTCAACCGGGTGGGCAGCATGTTCAAGTCAAAGAGGAAAAAGGTGAAAATCACCAGCGAGGACCCCACGTACACGGTGCTCTACCTGGGGAATGCCACCACCATCCAGTCCAAAGGGGACGGCTGCACGGACGTGGCGGTGAGCAAGATCTGGGGCAAAAGCGACATGGGCAAGAACGGCACCAAAATGAGGCTGACCATCAGCTCGCAGGGCATCCGGATGGTGCATGTGGACGACAAGGCCAGGAGGCCGGGACACTTGTACTTGTTGCACCGGATAACCTACTGCGTCGCGGACCCGAGGCTACCCAAGATTTTCGCCTGGATATACAGGCACGAAATGAAGCACAAGGCGGTGATGCTGCGCTGCCACGCAGTGCTGGTGTCCAAGCCGGAGAAGGCAAAAGCCATGGCGCTGCTGCTGTACCAGACCTCGGCCACGGCCCTGGCTGAGTTCAAAAGACTAAAACGGAGGGACGATGCCAGGCACCAGCAGCAGCAGCTCATAGGGGAACAAACCATCCCGTTGGTCCCCCTCAGGAAGCTGCTGAACGGACAGTGTTACTACAAACCCCCGGTGGAGCGCAGCCGGAGCGCGCCCAAGCTGGGCTCTATCACAGAGGACTTGGTTGGGGAGGAGGAGGAGGAGAAAGCGACGCACTTTGAGTGTGAGGACATTCTGGACACGGACGATGATTGTGTGGCCAACGGCAAACAGGAGTTGACTCAGATTATTAATGACTTGGGAGAGATGAGCATAGGAAACGACGTGCAGACTCTGAAAGCTGATCTCAGAGTCACCAGACTTCTCTCTGGAGAGAGCACGGGCAGCGAGTCCTCCATAGAGAGCAACCAGGAGCCCCCTCCGCTCACTAATGGGTTTGAAGAGGTAAAGGTGCAGGAAATTGCCTGAATAAATGTAGGCATTTCTGGGCGCCTCTGACGCATTGTTTTGTTGTCTCCACAAGAAACATTTCCTTTGTCGTCAACCTTGTGTTGAAGAGTGTTTTGTCTAATCGGTGCCTCCATGACTAAATGATATGACCCAGAAAAAAAAAATCCCTCTAAGGTTTTGGGACAACAATTAGGTCACTGAATGATATTTTAAGATTGTGAAAAAAACAAGAACAATGGGAAAACAAATGCCCATGCCCATTTGAGAGATGACTGGTTGGACCGAGGAACCCCCAGGACGCACGGCACTAATTCTGTCTCTTTTATTTAAGAGGATTTGTTGTAGCCTCAAGCTTGTTTACCTTAAGTTTTTCTCTCTTGAAAAACCAAGATCCAAAAAAACATTCCGCACGTTTTTGTTTTGTTTTTGTTTTTCCTTCAGTGGGTCTAAACAGGAAATCCTTAATTTTCCTGTCAGGGCGCTTTTGTAACAGCCTGTTCATTTATTTTATTTTGCACTGTTGTAGAGTTAATTCAAGTATTATGTTGACTACATGTACATAATGTTTGTTGGTATGTTGTCTGAAACATAAATGTCATATCTTTGCTGTGCAAAAGAAAAAACACCTTTTATGTATTAAGATGTAAAGTAAAGATGTTTTAAGTATAAATATGTTATTTTTTAAAGAATACAAATGTGGTTTGTTATGTGAACCTCATAGAATTATCAATAAAAAAGAAAATCATACAAAGTTGTTGAAGTTTATGTGTAGATTTGTGTTCAAAACAAGTAGGACATGTTTTTCCTCTGGTGCTTTTTTTTATATGAGTGGGGATTTACCTTCAGGGTCTTCAATTGAGTTCAGATATGCCCTGCTGACTTAAAGTCACATGGAGATGGGAAACAAGAGAAAGACACAACATTTCTCACCTCCACCATAAAGTTACCTACGTGTTGTTGTATAAATGTATTTCAGTTAATAGCCATGGCTGGGTCTGTACCCACTTTTTCCTTTTGGTCAGATTGCTTTAAGGAGCACAGGCTGTAGAAGTTATTGAGTTAAGGTACTGAAGGCCCATTCATTCTGACTGGCCTCAGGGAAGCCAGGCCACACAGGAGGACGTCACCACAAGCACAAGCAGTTAGAGCATCACATGGGTGCTTTAATGACAAGGCAGCAAAAAGTACCGGAGGACTTTTAACACCATACTGACTGTTTTTTATTTCCGATTACGTCTGCCCTCCTTTGTTGAGACACCAGAGAGAATCTCTTAAAGGTCAAAGCAAGTACTGTAAATGTGTAGTTTTCTATATATACATACTACATGTATAGAATCCAGCACCTACATTCACATTTTCACACACTGAAATCAGAACAGCTGCATCAGTGGTGTCATGTGTCAGTCTGACTTCGGCAAAGTTTATAATCATTTTAATAAACGGAAGTGACAATGATAAAAGATTAAAGTACTTCCTTTTATTAAATGTGAGTACATGATATCTAATATAGGCAAAAACACAAACATAACTTAGACAATCGTCTCTCTTGCCAGCACATATGACCTGCAGTCAGAGATGGATGTGACTTAGCAGCAGTGACACCACTTCTCCTGCCACTGTCACTGTCACTTCCTTTTCACACACACAGCAACAGGCCTACGCACATTGCCACGAAGTTCTCATCATTTGGCCGGAGCAGATGTAACATCATAAACCGGAACATGCAGATATTGATGTACTGACAATATAACATACGCCATTAGCTTTATATGTCTGCCTCCAGAGGGCCGGAACCCCGAAAGGCCACAGCATGCAGGGATGCGCCTCCTGAGCTGGGCGTGTTCTCACCGTAACGCTGGTGATGCTGCACGCTAACAGGGCCGAATAAGACATGCAGGAGGGAGAAAACAGACCTGCTGATACCCAGAGGAGGTGTATATGGGGATTGTTATCTGGGCAGACTGTGTTTCAGCAGCTGACACAATCCCATTGGCCATGCTGAGGTATTCACTGAGAACAAAAACATTCCCACCATGGATTTAGAATGAGATCCAGAGACAGAGGGTTAATGTACTTCAGCCAGCAGTTGGTGAGTCCTATAAAAAGCTTCACAGCGGCTCATTATGAATTGATGTGCTTCCAGGAGGCACACACACACACACACACACACTCCATGGAGGCTGTTGTTGCTATGTTTGTGGCTTGTCAAATGGTAATCGTGCGTGTGAGTTGAAATAGCAACAGAGCGCAGACACCCACATCAGTTAGTTTCTCTTCCTCATGTGATGCGATGCCCCATCTACCGCTGCACCCTCACTCAATGACATCATCAGCGTGTGCCCAGCTTAATGTAATTAGTGGACAACCAGTGCTCTTACCACATAAACATAAAGACAGAGCATGAGCATGCCATTTGTCCACTCTTCTTGCTTTCTGCAGCTGCTGAGCTGTTTATCGTTGGATTTCTCTCCCTGACCTACATTCTCATACGGCTTCTCTTCTCTTCAAAGTGTTTGATGACAACAAGTGGTTGTAGTACATTTTTCAAGCCGCAAGGGAGAATGTGGAGTTCCTGGCTGATAAGGGAGAATAAAAGAAGCCTTTTATAATCACATGTCACTTTCACTTTTCCCTTGAACAGGTGTTTACTTTACCCACTGTCTGGCATCTCTGAGTCAAAGGAAAATGGTTACACATTCAACAAGAACATCAGTCACAGAAGCCAAGTGTGTTGTTGTTGGTTCTCTTATGCTGTAAACATGTTTTCCAGGAATTCAAAGAATTATTATTTTTCAGTGAGAGGTGAACCTGAATTATTGATTTTATGTATCTTTTAAGAGTTTTAAGACTTTAAAGGTTCTAATTCATAATAACAATGTAAATAAAAATAAAATAATAAAAACAACAAAACTGCTGTTTAAGGCGGCTGCAAACGATCATTATGTTATTGCATAAACTGCTGATTAATGATCTATAAAATAATGGAAAATAGCAAGAGATGCTCATCACATTTTCCAAAGCCTGAGGGGATGTCTTCAATTTGCTTGTTTTGTCTGAACAAGAGTCCAAAACCCAAAAAACATCTGTGAACGATCACATAAGGCAAAGAAAAGCACCAAATCTTGATTACTGAGCAGTTGGAACCAGGAAATGTTTGACATTTTTGCTTTGAAAAGGACGTAAACGATGAACTGATCATCACAATAGTTGCAGTACTAACTGATTGATGGACAGCCCTACTGCTGTTAGCTATCCTGTGACAGCAACAACTTGCTTTATACCGAATATACTATATCACTCAATACAATAATACGCCTTTTACCAGTACCAGTCCTCTGTCATTCCCACTCTGTGACCCGTACGCCTGTTCCTGCACTGTAACTTCTGGCTCTGGGTCGCTGCAAGTGCTTAACGCTTTATAGCATTAAGTCATACACAGGTCAAAGTCAACTAGAGAACATTTTTTCAGCTTTTCTCTCTGATGTCCTCGGTCTGCTCTGCCTCAACTCTGCAATGCAATGAAATAAAGCTGTAGAGAAGTAGAAGTAAAAAGTACCAAAAATCTGAATTCTCAAGTAATGCACAAGTAACTCAAGCAACTTAAAACTTACAGTACTTGAGCTTTCTACCGCTGTATATAAGCATACCGCAGGGTTCAATTCACATTAAGTATTTTCTGCGTACTGGCCACTCTCAGCAGTAAAATCATCAATCATCAAAATCAATCCCACTATAATGCACTGAGAGAATTGCTCTAATTACAATTTTAAGTACACTTAACCATCCTCAAACTAACAATAAATGAATCTGGCGGTCGCTGCCTGGTCTGACACTGAAGCAGAAGAGTTTCCTAATTATCTGCTAGTGGAACGCCGCCGTGGGCCATCGCTGTACCAGATCATCATTGGTGCCAGGCAGACACACAGCTTCACTTTGAACCAGGCTAGAAAATCTGTTCGTCTATTATGCATGAGGATAACAGGGAAAGCACCAGAGCTGTTAGTTACTGGGCCTGGATCTGATTACACCAACAGCAATAAGATGTTAGAGGGGTTGAATCAGAGCACAGAGGGCTGGGGACCTTCTCTTGGCTGTGGAAACCTACAAACAAATGTCTAGGAATAGACTCTAACATGTCCCAGCATGCCCTCGAATCATAATTAGATGCTTTACGTAGACAGTACCTCAACTTGGGGCAGGTAAGGAGGAGATGGATGCGACACTACTATTTGTAACATGAAGGTGTGTAATTAACAAGCTCTTCCAATACAGAAACCACTGCTGAGGGTCATTTTTACACACAACATAGAATTAGAGGTGCAACAGACCTTGAAGGCAAAGTTGTGGTGAACTTTTTTGAGAGGATGTTGTATTTTGACCCTTCACAGGCAGACAGTGGCAGACAGTGTCAGAGCCCACCTATGACTTTACCAGGATGCTGTGAATGTGAGAAAGAGACTGACAGACAGTGAGAGACAGAAAGAGAGAAAAAAAAATCCATTATGCCACCAGTCTCAACTCTCATTAGTTTGAATCTGACAGCTGTCCTCCAGGAGTTGTGTGTGTGTGTGTGTGTGTATGGATGCAAGTGCACTATGTGTGTAGGTACAGGTCATTTTTCATGCTCAACTGTCCTCTGAAACATTTCATGTGGTGCGTCCTCTAAGGTGCTGCCTCCAGCTGATGTGGAGGACAGATACATCAACGGGCAAAGACAGACATGCTTTAATAAATTATTGAGAAAGTGCATCCATTAAAAGCGACTGTGTCTGCAAAACATTCAGATAGATGTCAGTGATTTTATGCGCTGGTGGCTGGCGAGTTGGGTTATGTAATCCAAAATGAACAACCTGAAAAAATAAATCCATAGGGAAAACAAGACTAACAGCCATGCCAGAAGAACTTTGTGGCTGTGCTAAATGCTAACATGCTCACAGTGACAATGCTAATGGTGATGCTTAACAGGTTGTGTGTACCATGTTAACCAAGTTGGTTTAGTGTGTGTCATTTGCTAGTTAGCACTAAACTCAATGTACAACTGAAGTAAGGTGACTATATTTTCAAACCTTTAAACATTGGGGGACAATTATTTCAGCGTTTAGCACAACTACCAGGTGCACCTTTCAACACCATGGACACTAAAAACGAAGCAACTTCATTGCTGGGTACTTTACAAAGAGGTAAGCCTCCTGGAGCTCTTTGGTAAAGACAGACTTTCTCTTCGACA